TCGAACCTTGCAGTTGGGGGAAGAAGATGACCTCAGAATGGGACTGCATCCCCAGACCCGGGACTGCGACTCATCGCTGTGCAACGTCGAGTCGACTCGACCGGTCCGCCTTTCACCGGCCGCGGCCGCAACGGATCGCTCGAGGTCTGGCTTTGAGAGGCGGGGAAGCACAGGAACTGGGGCGACACAGGTTGGCAGGAGAAGGTGGAACCTGAGAGAAGGTGAGGCTTTTCAGGTGAGGTACTCACCCCATTCTGGAATATGATGGAAGGTGACTGAGGTAGCTGAGCCCTGAAGTCACTTGCTAGTTTTCCTACCGGAAGATGCTGGAAGATACTGGAAGTATTTTGAGGGTCTACTGGCATGGAAATCCGTCGTGATCCATCATGATCCATATTTGGATGCTCCTTTTTGACTCTTTGTTGTCCACTGCACCAGTCATCTCCGATTCAAAAGCAGCATCGTCGTCCGTGAAAACGATTGCATGGTCCAAGACCAAGACTCGCATCACTTAAATAGATCACACATGATCGCATCACTAAGTATCACTTCACCTGAGTCAAAAGGCTTAAAATCATCTTAACTACTCTTAAACTAGGTGCTTAACAAAAGGGAGGAGACCTTTCGTCACGGTACTCACCCACCGGTCGTGAGGGGGCGCTTACGGCTCGGCACCACCACCTTCGCCGGTCCCGAGGCGTTCGAAGAGCTCGAGGCCCTCGAGCCGCGACTCGCGGCCGCCCTCGCGGCCGAGCAGCCGGGGTCGGGGGGCCTGGAAGGTCTTGATTGTAGAGTTAGCATCCTTGTTCGATGCCAGGAGCCCCTAGTAGCTCCATAAGACTCTTGATTAAGAACAGGCCTCCATATGAAAAGCTTTTTCAATGTGAGGGAGGTGATCCATCCAGAGATGTTTTTTTGATGTGAACATCTATTACACTCTGGGACTCTTCAGTTTGTACACCCAATCAAGACCTCAAGTATCCTTCAAATACACCTCAATGGTGTTTGCAGGTTTGTCGTCCTGATCCTGGCTGCCTCCACTGTAAGGTGATGCGGCTGGACGGCGCTATCCGAAGCATTTGCCGCTGGGCTTGGCACGATTTTCATCTATTTTCGATATATTCCAGATCAGTTGGTCAGTTGGTTCAGTCGCAGTCCTAGCACGAATCAACCTATTACCTATTCATCGTGGAGTTCGTGCTTGGCCTCTCCGGCTGGACGTGTCAGGCGTCACCGCGCAGGCGTCACCTGTCCCTGTCCGGTGTGGCTGTGCCGTTCCTTCGATTCGGCCCAGGCCAGCGATGCGGCGGCTACTGGCCAGACATCCCACCCTCTTCATGGGTGTGGGAGAGGCCTAAAACGGTGGACGGTGGTTGGGTGCTTTCTGCGGTTTGGATGCGTGGTTTTTTGGGGGTGGACGGTGGTTGGGTGTTGGATTTTTGCTGTGTTATCGAAGTACAAGCCACTGTCTTGGGATGTGCGTTTGCACTCCGTCACGAGTTTTGGGAGGGGAGGAGCAAGAACTGCTACCATCTGGAATCTGGAGCAAGAACAGCATGGTTTTCGATCTTTAGGGTCAATTAGCAGGGCTCTTTACGCCGTCCTCGTTGCTCCGTCCTCTCTTTCATCGTTTCTGGCGCGAACGATCGGCAGGTGGCCTTGCCAGAGTGGGCGACCCCGAACCGCACGGCCCGGGCACGGGGAGCGGACTGGGATGGAGGTCGGATGGAGCCGTTGGAGGTGGACACAGGTCGGTGGAGTTCCATCCGTTTGCTTTTTCGAACACCTCGGCTTGCCCGTAGAGCGAAGTCTGACTAAGTCTGACTATACCACTCTTTTTTAATCCAACAAACCAGGGCCTGGACCTGTGCATGACGCTGCATGGCAGACTCTGACAGCAAGTTTGGAGAGATAGGCGGACGTGGTGGTTCAAGCGGCGTTTCGTGGAGCACTCAGATCCGCGAAGTGCTCTGTAAGATTATCTCAGAATACCTGGCGATTGGAGGGCACTACGAACATATGGCTATATTATAAAACTATAATGGCATAGTATATATTATAAAACTATAATAGCATAGTACATATATGTAGTCACTATATTGTGTACAATACACACAATCACATGGCACAAGGGACTTTGGGCAAGTGGAAGCATCCTTTCTATTTATAAGGGTCACAAGTGCAATGGCAATTGGAGGAGACACACAGACAGGGGAAACAGAAGCAATCATCAATCATAGTTTGTGTTTCTGGACAGCAAACGGCAGAGTCGCTCAAAGCGCCTGAAACGAGGCACACTACGAATACAGGAAAGCTCCGATCTTAGTGTTTGCCCATTGCAGACAACGGGCGTGGGCAGTGCTCGAAGTTAGGGGTCAAGCAGCTTGCCATAGAGTTTGGTGGTCAGCCTGATTAGGCCTGGCTAGGCCTGGTTTTCAATGGCCGACCTTTTGAGTGGACGCCAGACCAGGGTATCATACCGTCACTTTGAAGAATCAGGCTCTTTGCGTCAACTTCACTTACAATTTTAACAGCCTCATGGGGGTTCAGTTTTACTACAACTTTTTGTAGATGGTTCCTATTCAGCCCCACATCCCGCTCAACAAGCACATATTTCGTCATACAGACACCCACCCACCTACCCACCTGCTCACCAAACAACTAAAAAAAAGCGGTAGAGAGCACTTCCTAGAGTGTCGGCCTCGGAACATCATCCCGCCGTTGCGCCGACACACACACACACACCCTCCATCGCCGAGGCGCTGCGGAAGGAGAAGATAGCTGGAAGGTGGAAGGTGAGCATCCACAGACAGATCCTGTGGAGTTTTGGTTTGGCCACCCCTCATAAATGTAAAATCTTGATTGATCACCCCCCGCATATGAAGAGGAGATTCGACACTTTTTTGCGGGGTTGGCAAGTGGCTTTGGCTGGAGAATCTCCCTATTGACAATATTGACTATTTCGATACACATATAACTTGGGTTTGTCATGGTTTGTCCTATTTCCTGTAACAGTCAGTAAACAGTACACTATTTTTGAACAAGGCCTTGATTAACTGTCATCATCCACTGTTACAGGTAATAGGATTGATAGACCCCAACACATAACCATATTACACGTAACTCATCAGCACTTGGGATTTGCCGGGTTCAGAGACACGAAGTCTTGGACGGGACTCATGTGGCGGCCTTGGGGGGTGTTTGTGCAGTGAAATGATCCCCCAGATGGCCAATCCTTTTTGGGACATGGAGCCGCAACACTCATGATCATCCCCTCAAAGAAAGTCGCCCCCCCAATGCTGCTCCATGCCCTTGCGCGGGATCCACCCCACCATCTGCATCCATCTGCTGCCCGGACGAAGGCCTCGAGGACGACGACGATGCGCTAGGCGACGAACGACGCGGGTCGGCCGTGACCGGACGAGAGGGTGTGGAGCAGCGTGCACCGGTTTTCGCCGGTGTTTGGTGTTTGATACTCGAAGGGAGTGGACTGGTCAGCTTGGGGTGGTCAGCTTGGGTCAACAAGCCGATCTGTGTTTCCCATGTTTCCCTTGTTGGTCGTGATCTTCTTTCTTTAGACCGTGGCTTATTTTTCCATGCTTCTACATTCCCAAAAGGTCAAAATGGTGAATTGTGAAGCTCGTGACCTACAATTTATGCCCATGAAAAGGGTGCCTGGGTGCCTTGCTTCCAGCCACACGGGTCGGTTCCATTTGGACGCCGACGTGCAGGGGCCATCGAGGAGGATCCGTGCTCATCTCTGCGAGGTGGATCGAGCGATCTGGGAGATCTTTTTGGCAGGAGTCGCGCAGGAAGTGATATAGTTTTTATATGTCTTTATACATTTATACTTTTGGTTGGGGGGTTTAGAAGAATCGGTGAGAGTAGACTGGAAGTCAGAAAAAGGTGAGGAACTCAAACTCAAAGGGATCAGCGTGCACGAATATATCATATCGTTATATATATATATACATATCCTTCTTTCAGGTGTGGTTTGGAGGGGACTGTGCCTGTGTCGTGTCGCAGAGCAAACCTGCACCCAGAATGGTGAGGCGAAGATCCGGGTAGGACCCGGGTTGTGTCCAAAAAAGGGGTTGGTCGAGCCTCGAACATGAGGAACATTAACAAATTGTAAATAGATATATTTATGAATTGCCTGGGTCTTAGCCACTTCCCTTTGTCCCGTGACAGAAACCACGACCAGGTGCCATTTCGCTGGAGCAGACCCTCCTGGGCACCGCCTGCCATGGGCACCAACTCGCCGCCCGGCGTGCAGAACCAAACTGCGGCCAACCCACCCGAGTCCACGGAGCCGGTGGGGCACCACCGCTCTGCCGTCGGGGCGTTGGCATTTTTCGGGGACCCGCTCCCATGTCCACCCGCCTTTTTCGGCTTAAGGCGAGCAACACCTGGGGTGAAGATGGGTGAAGTGAACATCCGAACAGTCACGACGTCGGGGCATTTCAGTTTTTCTTGATCCCAGAGGAACAGCTTCTCTGATTTTTTCCCGACGTCATGTGCTAGGTTTTGCATATGCTGGCACAGCAACAAGAAGGGCACCAGGGTGTGGCAGGTTTTTCTCGGTGTTTTCCTCGCTGAATCCGATCCACGGAGGTCCATCCGTTCTCGGTGCGAACCCAACGATTTCGGTTCCACCAAAGGCCGAAGCTTCGAGCGACCTCTCGGAGTGAAGCGCTGTACGGGACTTCAATGTTATGAAATGGTTAATGCAGAGTCCCCAGATTTTTCCTTGAAAACACGAAGTGTTTCTTGTTCAGCAGTCCAAAGCTGACATTCCCGATGAAAATTATAGAACATGCTGCTTCCTCTGATCATTTGGTGCTTTTGTGATTCTGACGTGGGACTGCCAAAAAACAGTTCTTTCGAGTGCCCAAGGCACACGCATGAATTTCTCTAGCTTCTAAGAAGCTGTGGAAAAATCGCTCACACTTCCATGGGTGCACATCAACTTTGGTAACAAATGAAGCAGATGTTTGGACCAGAAACTGGTGCACTGGAACTCTCCAATCTGCAGGTCCTGGAAAGCTCTAGGTTTGACGCACGTGCTAGGAATTTTGAACGGTTGCAAGACCGAAAGCCAGCGCTTTTACACTGGGCTGGTTTGGAGCGAGCGGACGTTGATGCAGTTGCAGAAAGAACCGCGTCACCGCCTGTTGCTGGTTAGCTTGACAGCTGCCCATTTCAGACTTGATGCGATTGGCTAGAATTGACACAGCAAAACCTGAACAAGTTGGGCTTTTGGATCCGCAGCTTTGACAGTCAGTTCGCTAAAGGGGAGAACCGATCCTCTTCCTGGCACAGCGGCCGGCAGGAAGCTCATGGGTCCGAACGTTCTTTTTGCCGACCCACGGCTCGTGGGCGTTCATCGACTCAGGTCCATTGGCGGGCGGCCGTTGCGAAGCATGGAGGACGGCTCCGTCATTCCATTTCTTGGTTGGCTTTGGTTGAAAGACACGGAGGCAGTTTTCCTTCTGCCCCTCAGAACATGGCAGATCCATATCTGACACAGGGAGATCAGACTGAGTGAAGGCTCCGACGTTGACATGAAAAGCATTGAAACACACACTGAACAACAATGGCTCCAAACATGGGGTACGCATGCTCTTGCAACTGCGGCAGGATTTGGTCAAACAACAAAGAGACAATACGTCCACTCCCAACTTCGCCCAACACATTCGCAAGCAGCTATCCAGGTCGAGTTGCAATTAACGACGAGTCCCGGACAAATGGGTCCGAATCGCGATGAGCTTGCTTCTTTGGGAGGAGGCGGCCGAGCCAGCTGGAATTGCGCAACTCCTACAGGCGATGGCGACGGAGGGGTCGGCCAATCTCACAACAACTCGGGATTGGCTCCGTAGCCCAACCATAAGAGGAATGGCCTCAGAGAGGAAACCCCATACGCAAGTCGCTATGAAACTCAAAGATGTTATGGCCGAATGGCCGATTGGGTCAAAAAGCGAGCCAGAACATGCACTCATTGCTTGATAAGTTTGCGCCAGTTCTTTGCACAAACCTTAACACAAACCCCTTCAGTACGGTTTCAATACAAAGTTGGCTAAGCTGCTCTGAAGCCGCCAATTTCAGTCCAGAACCTCCCATTTGGCTTTTCACCGGGAGCTCGACACCGGGGTTACCGAGGCGCAGCGGGTCTTGCAGCGATACCTCGACAAGACGGTGGTCTGGGCGGGAGCCTCAGAGCCAAGCTCCGGCCCGGTGTGATGTGATGAAAGCAGAGGGCCACGGAGCCATGATTTAAAGGTGGGAAGAAAAGTCCTTGAAGTGCCAAGGGCAGATTGCCCTCTCCAATGTCCCATGTTTGGGACCTTGGGATGGGATGTTTTCTATTTCTTTTAAACTATCAGCACCTGCACGGGTGCCCCCACCGCGCATGACCCAAGAGCACGGTGCGACCAACCGTGCGGGTCCTGCCGACCGGGCGCTTCAGGTCAGGGTCCGATGGTCGATCTTCGTCGTACTGTTGCTCTTGTTTGCTGCTGGCACCTCAGCCGGGACCCACGCGCAGCGCAGCGCTCTGGGCGCAGCGCGGCAAGTGCTGCTGCGAGGCAAAAAGACTTGTGCTTTCTGACAGGTGTGGCTGGCACTGGCCACGCACAGACCACAGAAAAGTGCAGTGGTCTCTCAGGCCAGAGTCTACATCAAGCAGGGCTTCTTTGTAGTTTCGCCTCCTGACTCGATGAGAAGAGGCGATGTTGGATGATTGTTGGACTCGTGCCATGCTGGGAGTCCTGAGTCCAAACTTATATACCTTGTGCTGCCATGCTGCGTGGATTCTGAGGTATGGTCTTGGAATCTACATGTTAAATCTTTTCATCAATTTCCTGTCACCTGCCTGAGACTCAGGATTTGAATTTGACTCAGGATTTGAATCTGATCTTCACCTGTGCCCTCCTTCCCAGCTTGACCCACTCGTTTTCACGGTCCCGCTGTCGCCCATCTCCACCAGCTGGGCCAAGCAGCTCTGCACTCAGGCAGTGGATCCAGACACAGAAGAGACCAGCTTGCCAATGAAGGAATCCACGGAATATCGGCAGGGCACCTTAGACCCACCGACAACCCTTGCATACCCCACCACCGTTCAACCCCTCCGAACGGCCAGAGCCTTTCGGACATATCCGCTCCTCCAACCGAGAACCTCGGTTTCACGCTCCAGGCAGGTTGCAGCTGGAAAACTGCTCTCATGGCTCGTTTTTAGCTCAAAATTGCAAGTAAACCTTGAGTACACCCTAAAACATCTATAACATGGTGGAGGTGCTCCACCCCGGTGATGTGGTCTTCAAAGGCCGCAGAGTAAATAAAAAACTGGGGCTTTGCATCGACTCCCACTGAGCATGGCTAAGATGAGTCGTTTGGAGCCCGATCCGGTTTTTTGGATCAGTTTGGTTAGCTCGGTTTGGACCAGCAACCAAAAGTCACTGGTTTCGGACTGAGGGTTGTATGCTTCGAAATCCATGACCGCCCGGCCAACACAGAGTATTTGGGCACACCAAAGCTAATGGACACATGTTCACAACATTTGTCGTCCCCAAAGCCATGGGTGAAGGTCAAAACCACGCGAAGTGATCCCTGTCTCCGTCGGACAACATCCTATAGTTTGGGTGGGTCGCCGGTGAAGGGGCCGACTCTCCCATGACCATCCCCAAGAGGTCCCCCAAGGGGCTAAGCCCGAGATTTTGTTCTTATAATCTTATACACATTTGGTCGCGCTTTGAGCTGCTGCGCCAGCTGAGGCCGTTTACTCGCAAGCTGCCAGAGTTCAAGTTCTGGTGGAGTGGAGCCCGCGCCACCGCGGTGGCTTTGGCCGGAGCCCCAGCTCAGGAGCTTTGGGTATATGGCTGAGCTCGCAAGCAGCTTGTGTGGCTTGTGTATGCTTGTGTTTGTCACAAGGATTCAGAGAGAATCTACAATCATTTTATGTCATCTTCAAGTATATATATATATACAGTATATTCAGACAGATTCTGATCGAACCTGGAGCATTTCCCATCTGATAGGGCCACACCACACGTTGGACTGTTGTTCCAGCTTCTATCGTCTGCTTGGCGACTTGTTTGGCACCTCACTTGTGATTCGGAACTTGGCACTGAGGGCATGACTTTTATCCCATTCTTTGATTTGCCGGCCGGATGCTGAAACTTTCCCGACACACGTGACACTACCAATTCTCTGAATGGAGCACAGAGACAGAGAGAGAGAGAGAGAGCGCGCCAGCGAGCGCACGTGAGCTGAGTGAGCACCAAGGTCTACTGGCCCATCCTCTTAGCCTATTTCATCTTGCTTTTGGCTCCTTGACGGGTAACACTTTTCTCGACTCCGAGGTGGCACCCAAGAGCTGTGTCTGCGCTCAGCGCCCAGGTTTTGACCATGAAGGACCGAGTGAAGCACATGATTAAGCACAAGCCCGGCTCCCGGGGTAGCTTCCAAACCGTTTGCCACGGAAGATGTTCAAAACTTGGCGTTCAATGCTGGAAGTTCGGTTTTTGGTGTTCAACGAGGTATGTGCCCTTCAACTTTGGGAAGCAGACATATGGCGAGCTGTCAAAGGTGAAGGCGAAAGGGCTTGGGACCATAGCCGGCCTTTGAGTCTCCTTTTGTTGTTCACCATGTCTCACTGGCTTTACTATGTCAGAAAGAGCTGCGGTACGGATCGACATCGACATCGGACGGGAGGTGCCTGGTGGTGAGAAGAATGACAAATGACATTTGGGCCGACCAGATTGATGTCGGGGGCGTAGTGAGTTCCCGTGGCGGGGCACCGTGCTCAAAGGCAGTCGCCGCTCGCCGAAGCTACTCTTGATCCCATGAGCGACACATGGGAGTGACACAAATGTCACAAGGTACAGAAGAAGTCTTTTTAGTGCTTGTATCTTTTTTAAAAGTCCTCACACGTTTGTTGGATCATAGAGTGCTTATGTGCAGACTAAACCACATGAAACCACAATCTTTTTGCTGGCAACGTGTCAATGATCTTTTTATTTGCTGCTATGACCAATGCGACGTCCAGCAGCTTTCAAGCTATCAGGATGCTGGTTTCACTGCAATCTGTCTTCATTGGACATTGCCAAATGTTGTCACCATGAATCAGTTGGTTTTGGAGGACCAGATTGCCTCGGTAGCTCAGCCAACCTAGTGTTTCGTGGACGCCAGTTCTCCGTGCACAAAAGCCACAATTTCCAAGAGAAGCTCATGTCGACTCATGTCCGTTTCTTGTGTGTGATTGAAGAGAAGCGCTTCTTATCTCTTCTCGCTTGTGGTAGGTTTACCGGGTCAATGCCTTTGCTGACATGAAAGGCGTTTGCCTTGGTGATTTGAGGCTCCAGAAAGAGGGGCCGTGCGTGAGGGCCCCGCTGTGCAACAGGGGCTTGGTAGTGCTTAGGTAGCTTTGTTCACTTGCAGACTCCAGTTCATCATCAGCTCACATGACTCTCTACCCTTGAGATAGACATCGCAGCATATTTCACCAGTGCAGTACTGGAGTGTGTCACGCCTTCCGCAGCGCGTCACGTTAGATAGTGTGGAGAACAGATCAGATTGGCGGGGGCCTCAAGTGTCGGGGCAGCATTGTCATTGGGGTTTGCCTTAAAACTGATCGGGAGATCACCAAGGGCTTTTGTCACAATTGATAGTCATTTTCTCCTCAATTAGAGGTGCAGATGTCAGCTTGACTCACTGCTTCGCCGCGCTCTGTTTGGGCCGCCAACCGGACTCGAATGACTGGTACCGCGTGCGAGGTCGGTGCCGCCATGGCCACGCGCGAGGCGGCGCAGTTCTATGGCCAAGCGGAGTCAGCACTGCGCGACGAACAGTTTGAGGTTCGGGTCAACGGAAAGAGGGCGGGGGAGCAGCGGGTAAGGCCGGTGGGGTAAACGAAATCATCTTCGGTTTAAACACCAGTTGGTTGTGCAGTTTGGGCTTGGCTTGGATGTGTCAAATTGGAAGTCTAAGTATATCATCGTCATTTTCATCTTCATCTTCATCCTCCTCCTCCTCATCCTCCTCATCCTCCTCATCCCCATCCCCATCTTCATCCTCATACTCATCCATTGTTAGTGGTCATTGGATACACCCTAGTTTGCTTGAAACGGCCAACCTTGGTGAGCCGTCGAAGAATTGCCTAAGAGCTTGATCGTTTTTGCTTTTGGCCAAGACTTGTGCAATTTCTTCCATGAGTTGGACGTTTTGGCTGTTCAAGCACTATACAGTAATTGTTACGTATAGAAGGATTAGAAGGTGCGTTTTCTCCCAAGGTGTTGCCATTGAGCAGGTTGTGACCACCTTTACGCAAAAGAACCTGGCACATGATTGGTGTTTGGACACGTCAGATGAACAGAAACGGCTTCCACGGACAGATCACAGAATACCATATGACAATATGGCTTTCTTTTGACTTGCATGTCCCCCCAGACTCTGTCTGTCGGAGTGGGTGTCCCAGGTAGTCAACCCACAGCCATCTGTCCTGTTTCTTTCACCAGTGACCCATGTCCTGCTTCCTTCGAAGTCACAGGACAGTGTGACCTTTGCTCAAAAAGCCGTGCAGATTTTCGAAGGCTTAGGAGCCGAAGGCAGGTTTCTGGGGGTCGGCTGGGGGCCAAAGGAGAGGGTCTTTTTCGGCGATTCACATGTTTGTTCGGTGCAAAAGCTGGAGTGTACTGGGTGCCACTTGGTAGTCGTGGTTTGGATTCCCTTGAGTCCCTTGGCGGTCAGGCAAGTCTGGGATGGTCCTGGATGGTGTCAAAGACGGACTCTATTCTGAAGTCTTTTTTGGGACAACCCACATGGACCACCAGGTGAGATGGACGGCTAGGTGGAGGGACATGGAGCGCCAGTTTTTGAACCCACCAAATTCAACTGGGAGCAAGTCGTTTGCGTTGAGGGATGCGGAAGCGACCCAAGATCGCAAGTGGCACGTGGATTCCAATTCCAACACGACTTAAGAGGTTGCCTTGTGACTGGTGGCCTAGTGTGCTCCAGGCGTCTCGGGGCTCATTGATGCCCTCTACATCCTCATCGATGCTCATCGACAGATGGCAACCACCATGCAGGAGAAGCCACAGAATGCAGCTTGCCTGGCTTACCTGGGCTGGAAAAGGGAGGTGCATTTTTGTTGAGGATTTTGTTGAGGAACATTTCGCTGTGTTTTTTGTTTTTGTTGTTTCTCCTGGTCGGTACTCAAGGGAAGGAAGGGAGGAAGGAAGGAAAGAAAGGGAGGGAAGGAAGGAAGGAAGAAAGAAAGAAAGGACAAAGGAAGAAAGAAAGAAAAGAAGGACAAAGGAAGTCAGGAAGACACACAGGAAGAAAGCAAGAAAGGAAAGAAAAGAAGAAAGGAAGGAAGAAAGAAAGGACGAGAGGAAAAAAGCAAGAAAGGAAGAAAGAAAGGAAGAAAGACAGAAAGAGAGACAGACAGACGGACAGACAGACAGACAGACAGACCGACCGACAGACAGACAGGCAGACAGAAAGAAGACATAAAGGAACAAAGGAAGGACAGAAGGAAGCACGGAGGGAAGGAAAGGGAAAGGGAAAGGGAAGGGGAAGGGAAGGGAAGGCAAGCAGGGAGAAAAGTTTGAGAGGAAGAAGGGAATATACTTAAAACACAGAAGGTTACATAAGGTTGCAATGCACTCCCTCAGTTGTGCGCTTTCTAGGTGTGGCCCCAAGAGAACAGAGTGTTTGGTAGATTGGCTCCTTCCTTCGGGCACGTGACAGTTTATATATAGTTGGACGGGGCCGTTCCAACGTAGAATACCTTTTTTGAGACGCCCAACAGTAAAATTTAGGCAAGGAGCCATGGAAACTTGGAGCCGCACGAGGTAGCATATCTTTGTGAGAGGTTCAAACGTAGCAAAGTTGTGTGACCCACCCGCCCACCCGAAGGTAACATCTAGAGGAGCAAGGGGCCATTCCAACCTGGAATACTATTTGTGGCCACCCAAAGGCCAAATTAACAGGAGACAGCCACCCGAACAGAATTACAATTTAGGCAATTCCAAGGTAGCACACCTTTTCGTTGAGTTTTAATTTAGAGAAGGAAGGGGCCATTCCAACGTAGCATACCAGCCACGTGACAACACCAAGGATAACATTTAGAGGAGGAAGGAACACCCTAAAACAAAAAAAACCTTATGGCAAAGCAACACTTGTCGAATACTTTGATATAAAAAAACATCATAATAATATTCCTTGCGGAATGTTTCACCACGTGTTGCTGCAATATGAAGCTGGATGATAAGGACTACCAGGTGTTTGCCATCTGATTTCCACCAGGTTTTCCAACACATGTAGACATAGAACCCGCAAATCCGCACAACGACCAGGTTTTTGCCACCTGACATAAGACCGGGATGCTAAGATCAGCACTCCGACGTTCACAAAGTGCCGCGCCTTTCGCGACATCTGCATTTCCAGCCATCCAAAAGCACAAAAAAACAACAAAACAAACACAAAACCACAAAATAAATCCGGGCCCTGAACAAAGCGGAACTGAACTGGTCGGAGAGATACAGGATTTATCCGCGCCAGGGGCTGGGTTGGGCGACTGGGTGCTTTCTGTTCCCAGCGAGTGTCCGAAGTTCGTCAGACACCTTTTGCAATGGAAATTCATTGTTGTTCTAACTTTTGCTCACCGACCTCTCACAGTGAAACACACGGAGATGCGATGATTTCTGCATGTTTTCTGGATTGTTCAGCGGCGTCTCCTTCGCGGAATCCTCAATTTCGCCTCCTGAGGCTTTGTCCATCAGTGGCCAGTACCTTGAGAAGTTCAAGGTGGGACGTGATTTTTGAGCAAAACGCCGCACAGGCGCACAGGTGCACAGGTAGGGATCTTAATGGACAACCACATGGCGCTGATTTTTCATGGTTTATCTTTAGAGGGGGACAAGCTATCAGATTGCATCTCCCTGCTTCCAGTTGCCAGGGAAAAAACCATGGGTTTCCACACTAGTCTTCACTAAATGGGGAGGGACTTCTGTGACAAACATTAGGTGCAGATAGGTGCTGTGCGGACACGTGCATGCTGCGGCCGCAGCATTTGCGGCCGAGGAAAGGAGCCCGTGCGGCCTTTGCACGTACAGCAAGAGTTGTCAAACGAAATGGAACGCATGTGGAACCCTTGATTTAACATGATTTCACCATCATTGGACCCTCCTCATCCGCCTTGGATCCAAAGTTTTCAAATTGCCAGGCCTGAATCCTTACAAAATCGTGCAAACATGTCCTCCGACCTCCCATCGTGTTCCTCGTTTCACGGCGGTGCCCGCTTCCGGGCACCGCCGTGACGCGACGCGACGCGCAAGGCCAGCCGAGATCGTCGTGGGGAGGCTGTGATGCTGCTGTGTTTAGCAGAGTGAGGGCGCCTGGACGGAGAGAGAGCGAGCTGGGCTGGAAGGAATGGGGTGGTACAAGACTTGGTTGTGCGACGTCCTTGGGATTTTTCTTGCTATATTGGTTTTCTTGATTTGGGTCTGAACTGTCCAAGGTGGTCTGGGCAGACTCTTGACCCACAGCATGTCGCTGCATGTCTTGGTTCGTCTACTCTGTGCGGTTTTGGGTGAGTCGAAGCCATGCACCTTTTTCCAACCCCCACTGCCAGCTGAATCTGAATCACCCTAAGCCTAAGATTTCGTTCAAAGGTCGGATGTCCCGCTCTCCGCTCTTGTCCTTGGGCAGATCGAACCGCTCGTCACCCGCAGGATCAACCACGACAAGCGCGGCCGCAAGAAGCGCCAGGAGGCGCTGGAGACGGCAGCGGAGGCGCTGCGGATCTTCTCGGAGGTGCAGGACCGGAAGTTCGAGGCACCACCGGCCGGACGTGCGAAACGCGGCGGGTGGATGAGGGTGGTATTGGTCCTTGGTGGCCGAAGAGGTCGCGCGGGTGACTGCCTTTGTTTGAAACGGAGCTGCTTTTAGATCGGCTGCAGTTTGGAAGGCTGGGGCTGGGGCTGGGTGTTCGGTGTGGATACGTGAGCTGACAAGTAGGGACAGAGAGGTCTTTGGAATGCTGTGGAGGTGGAGAGGAAAGGGCGGTCATGCGGGGGTGCTATGTTTTCTTTCTACAGATTCTACAGCTTCGTATTGCTTGACACGATCAACCCCACCAAGGGATGAGTCTTTGGTTCAATGGCGGTATTTGGGAGTATAATCCGCTAGGAATAGTTATTGTCGAGTCACGATGCCTATTTGATGCTGACAATGGCCAGACAGGTGAGGCCAATTTTTCCATGGCTTTGGGCAATCGGGCAACTCACACAAGAACCTTGCCACTGGCCATAAAAATGCCGGCGGTAGACAACCATGAACATCACGATCGACCGATTCACCTGTTTGAGAATCTTTGGAATTTATGTATAATATATATATATATATATACAGCTGTTTGGACTTGTCAAAACACTTTTGCTTTGATGTCCCGGAAACCTAAGTACGTGAGAGAGATACACCATGATACACCTGAAAAACCAGGTGCCCGGTGTCATCCCAAAACACCGCTTCGACCAACTGCCGCGCGAATGTTCCGCGAGCAGTTGGTCGATTTGATCAACTGACGGGCACTGATGTTTACAGCTTCCCTCAAGATGTCCGTTCGACAGATGGGGCTTCATATAAATCACCGCAACGCCCTGGTGCCCTTGGCAACTTGGTCCTCTCAATCCACCGGTCACCATTTCTTCGACCGTTGGGTTAGGCCCTGACGTTGATGGTCACGGCCATGGCTCACTACAAGTTCTTTATGTATGATGCGATGCTCGAGGACCCGGCCTGCTCCGCTACTTCCTTTTGGTCTACTTGCTTCTGAGAAAATGAAGCCCAGAAGGCCATTGATCGTTCGTGTTTGTGGTTCACCATTGATTCTTTTTGGTCGAGAGAGCGGTTGATTGATGGTGGATGGTTTTGAACAGAACAGAAACAACAGTGATCACACATTTATATATGTGTTCGTTCTTCGGATTCGGTCGAATCTCTCGTATGTAGATTACCAAGTTTTTCTGTCGTCCACCAAAAGTCATCTTCTCTCGGGGTTCAGAACGCGATGAGGGCACCTTTCTGAGCACCTGAGATTGACCGTGTGAATCGACGGCAAAGCTCTTGCTCGCCTCGTGCGGCGAGCCGTCCGAATAACAGCTTGACGGCACTTGGAGCCCACTTGGAGCCACATGAATGCGAGCAGCCCAACAGAAACACTGAATTACTCTCCCTCGAACTAACATGGAAGTGGAAAACCACCTGTTTGTATTGGAAAATGGTCTTTGAAGGGGCCATTCTCCATGTTAGTTCCAGGGAGTGTACAAATCACTTGACGCAGCCCTCATTCGTCTGCAGGAGGCGACCCGGAGCTTGGACATTGCGGAGGAGTTGGGTGACAAGTTCCTGACTGGCCGAGCACAGAACCTCACCGGGCTTGCTTTGAGCTCCCAGAGGAGAGGGATGGAACTGAAACCTGGGGAGGGGCATTTGGTCGGTACATCGGTTTGACATGGTGAGAAGCTGTAATTTCCACTGAAGGACCTTTCCAAGCTGAAGGACATGGTGCTACCAGAGGTCAGATAACAGAGACTGACGAAGAATGAGCACCAGCGTCTAGACCACCCTCCAGTAATCATCATCATTTCCTCTGTTGGACACCCAAGGTGTCCAGCAAGCACCACAAGCCGGGGCATGAGTTGACCGCAGGAGGATTGATGATGCCATGGAAAGGGGGAGAGCCGCCTTAGCGATATGGCGAGAACTTGGGATGAGGTGGCTTGATGCTGTGAAGCCTCCTGAGAAGGTTCCTGAAACGGTGGTTTCTGCTGGAAGACTGCAGCTTGAGCGGTCAGAGGAAGAATTTGGAGAATGTCGGGTATATTACAGGGCGCCCACACCGTCATCAAAGTGAATTGGAGGCTTGATATCCTGGTACTGATACTCTCTTGCCAATTTGGAGAAGTAGCTATCCCTGTCCACCTAGACTCTATCCCCAACTACGAAAAAACAACACTCCCCCTGCAATGCAGGCCCCACAACAATTTTGCTCCCACCTCCACGAACTGGCCACCTGGAACGTGGCTCTGGAGCCTGCCCCTGGATCGTATCACATGGTCTTGGTCGGACCGCCACACTTCTTTTTCGGAGCCGGTGGGCGGTTGTGCAAAAACACATAGAACAAAACGGAAACCGCAAGAAGAGACTAGACCTTTCTGAGGAATGTTCCTTGATAATCCTTGATATAAATCATATTAAAACCATTCTGTCATGGGGTTTGTGGTTTGATTTTTTGACCAAGCTCGAGACGACAAGCGGCGCCCGAGGCGCCAAGAAGCGATCCAGACCCATGCCATGGCGGGTTGGCTGTTGTACAGCCGATGGCCCAAGAAAGCCTTAGCCCTGGCGGAGCAGGCGCAGATCCATGCCGCTAGTCCGATTGAGGAAGAGATGTCCATCCGTCATAGTCCGGTGTCCGATCTTGTTTGGTCTTGCATGGTGGATGTCTTTTGCCTCTCCGGCCTCTCGGACGCCCCTTTCGGGAGAAAGATCGAAAGTGGCCAGACCTTGCAATCCTTCCGAGAGATTGGACCTGCGGGCATTCCTTCTGGCGCAAAGCATCGCAGAGAGGCAGTGGGTCGCCCACATCGGGGTGGATCCGGAAAGAGGTGTGTGGGTCCCCCAAGCGAGACGAGCCGTGGGAAAACAGGCTCAATTCGGGAAGTCCTTGACATTCGGAGTTTGGAATATATACATAATATATATATACCTAGATCTCCGAATCTGTTGAAATTTCAACTTACGATCAGGAAAAGAACTTTTCTTGACGTGAAGAAGGATTTTCAACTTTCCGCGATAATCCTCGTTCGAGGCCATTCTGTGATTTTGGGGAGCTTCCCGAATGAGTTCTCGAATGAGTTCTCGAATGACTTCCCGAATGCATCTTTCAAGATGAATCAAAAGGCACCATGTTTGGCCTTGCAAGAGATTACAGAATCGCACAGCATCGAACACAAGGTCACAACATGCATGCCTTTACATTAGGATTGGTGAAATGAAGAACCTCCAGCTTGGAAAATCTGGATTGAGTTGCATGACCGATGCGACACGGCACGGAATCCACATCTTCTCTCGCACACCAGTTTCATCATTTTTCTCGCAATTGACGATCCAGAGCTTCACCTAAAACGCCTATATAGGATCCTAAAGGTCAATCAAACCGACGTATATGTTCCATCTTCACTCCTTCATGCATGGGCCCATGGTTTTCTTCCCTTGCTTTGCTGATCTTGAACACGCCACGGTCCGCCTGGCCTGTTTTGTGGAATTGGGTGTGAAGAGGACTGCATTGTGCATGCACAGGTCAGGTTTGATCGACGTCACTGTTATTGTGTTGCAAATATGCAGCATGCAGCAAATGAGCACTCTTCTTGAAGTCAAAAGAGAGATCGTAATTATATTTTAAACTATAGTTTAACAGATTCGGAGATCCAGGTATGCCTTTAAATGTTCATGCATGCGTGAACACGTTGCAAAGTCAAATGGTGCACTGCATCGGTGGCCCGGTCTCAGCAATCAGTCCGAATGCATCCAAATGCCGCTTCTCCTGCGCAGCTGCTGTTGGCACAAAAAAGGTTTGTTTTGGCTTGACTGCGTGCGCACATGGCAATTGTCCAGGAGAGGCCTGATCATGCAATTACATCTTCGGCAGGTGACCGAGTGGGCAACTACTCCCTTCAGGGTCTTCATGTTGAATGGGACAACATGAAGGAAGTGAGGGATAGGCTTCGCAAGAACTCTCGCCTGATCATGCATTGGGATCCGGAAACAGAAAAGTTGACAAACATCTACGTGGAAAAGACGCTGATGAACCTTCGACACAATCGAATGCAACTCCGTCCTCTTTTTCTCCGGATGAAAGCCAACCTCTTGCATCTTCCTGGCATCGACAACTTGATCGAAGAGGTCCGAGCCCTCTACCAGTGCGCCAAGTGCAGTGGACCCTATGATGTGCTTTACTGGGAGGCATGGGCTTGCAGGCGCCTACTGAGCCTTGCGAAGAACACGTTGCTGTACCGCAAGTTTCTTTCGGAGGACCATCAGCTATCATGCATATAAAGATTGCAAAACTTGTTGTAGCGAGGTCTTCATTTCGTGCAGTCACCTGTATACACAAAATGGAAGCATCCAAAGAACATGTGGCTTTAATTATAGAATGCACAAATATGGAACGAGTTTTCTATATCCCGCAGGATGATCATGACCTCTTGCAGGTTGCTGCGGACCTGGGCATTGAGGTGAACATCAGGCGAAAGGACAGCCCATCTGAATCTGTGTCCCTTGGTCAACCATATCCCATCATGGATGACCCAGAGCATGCTGGGGCTGGAGATCCGGCAGCTTCATTGTCATCGCCTCCAGCGCCAAATGATTCACCTTCTGTTGAAGTGCCAGCCCCTCTTCCTCGAGTGTCTTCAACGCCAGTGTTTGAGACGCCTGCAGAGCCAGGGGTTGCAGCACCTAAAGCTGCGCCTGAAGCAGCACCTGAAGCACCGCCTGAAGCAGCACCTGGTTCTGGACCCAGCTCTGACGGAGATGGTGTTCGACGACAGTTGATGTTGGAGGAGCTGGCCGCTTGCCGTTTCAGACCTTTTGCCAATCAGCCAGTGATCAGAAGAAGAGTGCCATTTGAACGAAATCTTCGTCAGACCACTTTGGAAGAATTTGGACTCTGCCGGCTGCGTGCTAAGGAATCACAACCAATCACGGAGTACTACTCTCCCGAGGCTGTTGTGACTAAGGGCGCTGCAGCTGGCTATGCAAAACAAGCAGTGCAACAGGCATCAACCTATGCAGAAAATTTCTCGTGTCAAATGTCAAACAGGTTACAACAATAATATACAGCTGTTCATGAAACTGTGTTGCTACAATGGCTGGCATATGCTGGCATGCAATCTTATATGGCCATGTGTGTGCATTCCCTGTTGCATGCAGTGCCATTCGATATCGGGGACAAACCTTGAAGTCTTTGCTTGCGCACGCAGGGGGCCATTTGCATCGATGATTCTGATGCTGAATGTGGCGGTGTTGGTTTGGAGGAAGAGCTGGTGAAGGTTTTGGAAGCTATCGATCGACTCGAGCTACTTAGTCGCCAAAAAGAAACCTGTCTATAGTTTCCAATGCCGATAGAACGAACTTTAAAGATCTTCGACCTGAATACTTTGAATGCATGCAAAATGTTTTTCCTTGTGCAAGCCACCCCTGTTTGCATGTCCAAAAACAACGCATGCCAATCCACTATCAGTGCTCGCGCACCGCGCACGCCACTCACCCAGGTTGAGCCAGGCCTCAGCAGAGCTGTTGAGCACGAAGCCTGCGCCAGCGGAGCCTGCACCAGCGGAGGCGTCTGCTCCTGGATCGGGCGCTTTGGCGGAAGGCTTGGGGCACCTCACAACGAATCTCCAGCTTCACATGTTCTGAGGTACACTGTATGGAACAGCACGCGCCGTATAAATCAAATGAAGCAATGCATGGGTTTGGATTACCGGTTGTGTTCTCAAACTCAGTGATGCAAATTGGATCCTGCATGTGGCATGTGGGATGTATGGTGCAGGTTCTCAGCCGACCATGGTGCATGAATCACTTCCAGCCCTCGGGGACGATGAAGAGACCCAAATGTTAGTCCAAGCAGAGGATTTTGAGCACACGCCTGCCATGAAAGCGATGTTGAAGACGGAGGATGCGAACAGAGCTGCCGCGCTTTCACAGAGCCATGAGGAGAAGTGCAGTTTCACATGTTTCAACCCTGAAAAATATGCACATTATGTTTTCTTTTGTGGACTTCATCATCGTCATGCGTCCGACCTATATCAGCTCCACCCAGAGTGGTTCAAAACATATTTGTTTGCCTTCTTCAACTTATATAGACCATGGTGAAATCAGGTTTAAAACAATCAAGAACATGCATAGTATGCATAGAAAGTTGCATGGACGCATCCGACATAATGTAAGTACCGTGCGATACGTGCTTTACTCAAACAACACAACTTGTTTAAACACGTGCTTCACACAACATATATAAACAACAACAAAACAAAATACTTGATGAACAAACTGTACTGCATGCACAAAACTGGACTGTATATATTTCCCAGCAACGCCAGACCTTAAATATATATAGCCGATCTGAGTCGCATTCTCCCTGAAGGAGTACCCAGAGGTGCCATCCCATGCTCCTGTGACGCGACGCCGCCAGTTTGGAATGAAAGAGGACAATGAAGAGGCGAAGGCAGACAAGAAAAAGGATCGTAAAAGAAAGAGAGACCAAGGTGAAGAGAAAAGCAAGAAGGGTCGAGGTGCAAATAACAAGAGCAAGGCCAGCAAAGCTGCCAAAAGCAAAGGTGGCAAACGGCAAGCCAAGGCTGCTGCCAAGAGAAAGGCGAACAAGAAAGGCAAGAAAGGGTGCACCAGCCCATCCAAGCAGAAGCTGAAGCTTCTGCGCAAAGCAAAACATTTGTCACCATCGAAGTCACCGCAGTCGTCGGAGAGGGAGGAGAACAAACCCCCATCTCCAGTGGCCAAGATTGAGCGTGCATCGTCATCGGAAGGGCCACCAGACTTTGTCCAGAAGAAAGATCGAAAGAGAAAGCAGAACCAAAGCAAACCGACCAAGTCCAACGCAGCCAAACAGGAGCCTCCAGCAAAGAAGACAGTGGCAAAGCCAGAGAAGAACAACAAGAAGAAGGATAAGAAAGCCGAAACCGATTCCAACTTTGACCACTATCTGCTTTGCATCAACAAGGTGCTGGATGAGTGTGAGTCAACCAGCTGCATTCACCCTGATGCCTTTGACGGGTCGGCGCCTGACCAGTTCTCAATTTCGTGCTATTGGACGAGGCATGCTGCCGGAGTCAAGGTCAACAAGGATCGCTTAGTGCCAGAACTCAAACAGAGAGAGAAAAAAAGAAGACAGATGGCAAGAATCCAAAGAAGGCATACAAGTCCAAGCAGGTCAGCCAGATTGCGTACTTTGCGCGTGGGGGCTGTGTCTATGTCAATATCAAAATGGCTCAACTCTTTGCCCTTTGGTCGCACTTTGTGCGGTAAACTCTTCATTTATAGCAACGCATTCCTATAGTATACAAAGAACACGCATGACAAACGCTTATAATAGTTGTCACTCCGCATTTCCCGCAACTTCACCACCGGTTCACCCCCAGTGTCCTGTGTCTGGAACTCCCAAGGTCGAGAAGATGGCAGATTGCGATGGCACCCTGTCCAATGCTACGATCAAGCCAGTTGTTGAATGCTTGAAGCGGGCTCAGCGGAAGGCTTTTGAGGACCGGGGCTACAGCCTCAAGGCTCACTGTGTACAGGATCCAGAGAATGGCGAAGCGTAATTGGGAAGAGCAGCCAGGGCCCCTAACATTTCTATGGAGACCTGTTCACCTATCCTGCAATTTGAGTGTTTACCTGATGGTTCAACATGACATGCACCCAAAAGACTATACCCATCAGTTTTGCAGGTGGTGCTGATTTTATTATGGCTGCGTCCCAAGCGTTCAAGTCAGGCTGTTTGTGGTTGCCTGCCCTTTACGGAAGTTAAAGCGGCACTGGTGCAATCGGGGTTT